GTGCCCCCCCCCCCCTCCCCGACACGCACACACAGCCACACGTGTGTAGGCTGCCCATCCGACCCCGTCACGCGCTATTGTAGACACGTGCGCGTGCCTAGAACGCATGTGTTGGTATGAAAAAAGGCCGGTGATTGTTTGCATGCAATCGGCTAAGTGAATAATGGTTCATGATACAGGTGCAATGGATGGTTTCTGGGAATCGATAAAGTTCGTTCTGGGAGAAAAATGAGCGAAGCCACGTCTTCGGGGGCTGTTCACCCTGGAAGCGACCTCATTGAATCCGAGCTCGCTGATCTAAGTGCTCGTTGAATCCGGGTTATTTTTAAAAAATTGATTTTAAAGAAGAAAAAAACCCGGAGAATCTATCTCATCTCGTTGAATCCGAGTTCTCGTTGAATCTGAGCTCGTTAAATCCCGAGTTCCATTGTATTTACTGCCAGCCCCAGCCCCCCCCCCCCCCCCCTGTGCGGTCTCTACATGTATAACGTGTACATTGTATTTAATTTACAGTCTGCCTAAAAGTTATCGGCAATAACAGAGCCTCATCGGAGCCCAATGGGTTATAGCAGGGACAAAGGCTCGTTAACGATAAGTAGAAAGTAAGAGAGAGAGAGAGAGAGAGAGAGAGAGAGAGAGAGAGAGAGAGAGAGAGAGAGAGAGAGAGAGAGAGAGAGAGAGAGAGAGAGAGAGAGAGAGTAACGCAGTGATGGAGCAAGCCCACGCAAGCCACGCCACTGTGAGCACACGCAGCGGGTGAAGCGACAGAGGACAGAGGGTTGCGGTGTGCAGCAGACTTCGATTTCGATCTAACCCTAAGCCAAAGATAGTAAATAACAAGATGGGCCACTCAGCCAAAAAAGTGTCCGCAGGAAGTATGCTCTTTGCTTCAGATGGCGCTGCAGTCTGTTTTGAAGCTCTCTTTCGTTTTTCCAGAAGAAGAATAGAATAGCACCTCCTTGCGTGCGCAGATCGACTGCTGTTCATCAGCAGTTCGGGTACGTTCAGTGCGGAGTTTTAGTTTTTAAAAATTTTAATGACCTCTCGCCTTTCATTCTAAAGTCAAATTAAACGAAGAAAACCATCACCCTTTCCTTCGGAAGAGGTTTTTTTGTCAGCGTAACTATTTTAAAAAAGCATTCTTCCGAATTTATCCCAAAACTTGCTAGTTTCACTTTGATTTTTTAAAACTCAAGTAGGGTAACTCTGTTCGCAAAGAGTGCGCTTTTGTGAAGAGGGCGCCACTAAATTTTGAGGACACTTTTTTAATTGGCTCAAAGAGAGAAGTGGCCACAGAATTCTACACAATAAGTGTAGAATTCTGTGGAAGTGGCCCATCTTGTTATGTAGCCTACTATCTTTGCCTAAGCATAGCTACACGCACACGTAATGTGTCATGAACCCCTGTTCGTGGGTACTTGTGGCAAGGGAAACTACCCATGAATCTATACTTATATTTCTGAAAGTCCGTCACTTTCGCCGCCTAAAACTTCGGAATCACTTAACTTTTGAATTAGACAAAAACATAACGATGATTTAGAATCATTTAAAGGTTGCACAGTTTTGCTGAGGAGTCTGAAGTCACTGTAGTTTAATTCTGAGTTTTTCATTAGTTTTGTTTGGATCTAATTTTGGGAAAGTCCGTCTTCTTCTTAGACGCCATTGTGAACAAGTGAGGTTTCCGTTCACAATGAGTGCGCACTCATTCCACACCTTTGGAATTCTGGAGTGTACAACCACGAAAGCGGAATAGAGAATCAATCTATGCCTCTGTTGTATTGCAACTCGGAAACACACGTGTCACTTTTCTCTCAAGATTTATTGCTCCACTCCAGTAGAGTGTAAAATAGTAGACCAATGACATTTAGTTGATGTTAATGCACCGATCATTCCTTTCATCGAAAGGGGGGGGGGGGAGGGGCTGCTAGTAAATGAATAAATAATAAATGTGGATTAATCCACGCATGTCTACATCCCTTGCATTTCTGATTTAACAGGGATCTAATATAACCGGATATTTTCTCTGTTCCCACCGCCCCTGTTATATCAGGTTTCCAATGTAATTGTTAGATCGCAAGTTCTGGAGGTAGGGGCTCAGCTCGGTCCAATGTTGTGTCCTTGGAAAAGGCACTTCACCCAAATTTTACAATTTGACTCAGTTCTAGAGGGACTGGGTGTTAAATTCGGAGGTCATGCTTCTAAGAATAGATAACCATATACTACTTATGGTGTTGCAAGGGATTTTAACTAACAAAATATTAAATTAAAGTCGTCGTTAATCACAGGACAAAAATAACTTTGTCTTCTAGACAAAACTGTACTCTTACTCACTCCTAGAGATACAACTATAATCTTTGTGCTCTGGCGTCTGTTGTATACATATGTATAGTAGTTAGGAGCTTGGCTTTTGCACTCGGGAGTTCAGTTCCCGAGTGGGAAATTTTTTTATCTAGGTCTTTCTGCTGGGTTGTTGTATCTCTGTCTGCCCTGGTTAGCCCTACTAATAGGCAGGATGGAAGCCCACCTCCTGAAAAATCTAAATCGAGAGAAAGCTGCATACCGGTGCCTAGGTGGTGTAACAGTTAGGCGTTTTGCTGTAGCATGCAGGAGTCTCGTTTGATGCCCGAGTGGGGAGAACTTTTTAATGTGTCTCTTTCTGCTAGGATGCACAAGTTCAGCTCCTAAATGATGTTTATTGTTGATGATGTTGTAAAAACATCTGCATTAAATTTTTTTAAACTTTTGTGCAGAAAAAAAATCACGGCTGGTTCCAAAAATTACATCGTTGAATTCTTCTAGAACTGCTGCCTTTAGAGTTAGAGAGCTGAGCAATCTAGATAGGGACACTCTGTTTGTTAGCTCAGTAGATGTGCTGAGCTACTGAGTTAACTGAGCGGATGGCCCTGGGCGTTCTTGAACTCCGGTTTCGTGTTTTCATTAAGGCTCTCAACCCCTTTGACTCTGTCCTATCGGAGATGGATGTTAAAATTCGGAGGTCTTGTCTTTTGAATAACAATAGCAGTTGATAGGGATGTTAAACTATCGTTCACTCTCTTCATCTCTCTGTCAACTCAGTGTGTTTTGTCTGTCTGTCTGTCTGTCTGTCTGTCTGTCTGTTTGTCTGTCTGTCTGTCTGTCTGTCTGTCTGTCTGTCTGTCTGTCTGTCTGTCTGTCTGTCTG